GGGGGGGGCAGAGGGGGGTAGGGGAGTTCTTGCTTTTGAATTGAGCTTTTGTTTTTGAAAAGTCTAACTGGATTTCACGCACCGCATTTCTGCTAGCAGGTACAACAGGAGGTCAGAGATGGAGCGAAAACCATCCCTAATGAATCCGACGGCGGCGAAATAATTAAAAGAAAATGTGGCTAATTGTATTTTTATTTCCCCCCAAGAAAGCTTGTAATTCTGAGCGGTGGAATAACTCATGATTCTGCAGCCAGTTACAGGCAGGCTGCAAAATATAGCCTTAACTGTGCATTACACATCAGGGCTAAGAGGAGATTAAAGAAATTATAATGAATATTTATTACAGCGGTACAAGTATCCCTCTTAACCTGCCTGACTGGCTGCTGGGAATGCGATTGACCTGTCACACAAGCTGAAGCAGTATATGAGATATATATTACACACGGCGCTCTGAGCTCACCTCCCACAGCCCAGGAGCGCTGCACGGCGTGATACAAGCTTGTGGTTATGCACTGACAGTATATTAGCTTTTTAAAATGATATCAACAAAAACAACAGAAATACGCACCGGAGATAAACAGGAGCATAGGCGGCATTAGGTTTCCAAGAGGCTGAGGTGTAATATCACTTTGTGGTTAAAGAATGAGGGGGGAAGAAAAGAGGATGGGTAATTACAGACGGGAGATGAATACGGCCTGCTGTTCAGAGCGGAGCTCTGATCTCAGCAAGTATGAAGATAATATCAGAGCAGCTCTGGTAGGCGCCATTGTTCCTCCAAAGAGACGACGGGGGGGGGGAGGTGGGGGAGACCTCCCAGTGATGGATCTGGCAATATCCCCAGGATGAAGGCCAGGAAGCCTCAGTTTATGCTGCTTCAACAAGCTGCCAAGTGGTGCTGAAGCAGCCGTTTGAGCTGCATTTAACCAAATGCCGCTAGCTAGACTGCCCCCCCCCCCCTGCAAAGTTCATCATGGATCTATGATGCAATGCATCCCCCCAGTCCACAAAAGCACACACATAGACACATTTAAATCAGCAAAACACTGAAGGTTGATCTCAGCTGAACCTTTCCCGAAGTTCTACTGGCATTATGAAAAAGTCCCCATTGTCTTCGCTGAATAAATAGCTCCTCCTGATTGGGTGTCATGTGACATCTAGGCCAAGGACACTGCTTCTGGCTGAGAGCCCCAGTGTCTCCTTACCCAGGTTCACCTGCTACAATGTCAGAGGTGATGGGCTTTTACACAAGGTCATTGGTTTTCGAACACGTGGAAATCCAATCTTTGCTGGCAAATTTTAAAACAAAGCACTGACAGAAAAGGATATTCTTACTGTCAATCTGTGGCCAGCTAATGAGTGCTACCATATACAGACTGGCAAGTTCCCATACTTGCCAGCCCAGACATTTTAAGAGCTCTGCTGGGGGAGAGGGGAGGCTTTTTTTAACCAGAACACCACCATCGGGGAACAGGAGACAGCCCCGAAGGACCAGCAGTGGTCCAGACACCACAACTCTGCTACCAGGACAACGCTAACTAACACCCTCAATTCAAAGCAGTGATGCAATTCGCCGGCAGAGCTGCTTTTGATTTCGACCACTCATGTGCCTCCGTACATCCTTAACAGGAAGTGTATAAAAGTATCCGCACTCTCCGGACCTGTGTATACGTTTATAGAGGAAGGAAGTGTGAGGACTGACTTTCCGCTGCTGAGAAGGAGGGAGTGGTCTGCAGGAGCATCACCAAAGGAGAACGTCATCATTTCTTGATCCACTCAGCCTTCCACAGCGCTCCATAAGTAGGAACAAGTTGCTTCTTCAATGGCCAGAGTCACATTTAAAGAGATTACCCGGTTCGATCTCCTAATCCACATGGCCGAAGTTTGGGGACCCTTTCTTTCAGCATCTACCTGCTTGGTCTAATCCTACACCAACCCACCATTTGGTTAGGATTAGAAAATCTGCGACCTGTGTGGATCTCACATTCCAGGAGCCAGACAATCATTCCATGGGCTTCTGGGTTCAAATCATGGCTATTACACCAGTGAACAGCACCCAGATTAAAATCTGACATGATAATGAACCATGTAACATGTGTAAAATGGTACAAATCGCGGAGGAGGATTTCTGCATAGCAAACACATGTGGAGTTCGATCGAGATTCGATCCAAAGCCCTGACCTTTCACAGAAGGTGGAGAACATCTCCTCCAGACTCAGCTCAGCATGATCGGTGCCACACATTAACGCTCTCCGGCTGCATAACGTCCATGTCCTTCATGTTATGTCCTGCTTGGTGACACACATGCACACACACAGATGCACATTTGATGTGTTTCCAATTCCAAGCCCCCCACGCCCCTATTTGACCCGGGTCAATTTCAATTCTGGAACGCTCAAATCACCGATATTCCAGTGCTGTCAAGCTGGGTTTAACCAATCAATTGCAATCCATCTTATGCTGCTCCTCCACCTCGCTGCACAGCAGGATTAAATCGCTACCAAAGCTCACCATCCCTGATGGCATGGGGGGGGAGGGTTCAGTAAAGAGGATTGGGGTAGTAATTACTAGGCTACTATAAAAAAGATTCCCCACCACTTTATTGTGTTTTGCTTCAAACCCTTCGTTCTCCCATGAGTGGGGGGGGCGGCAATAGGTAGAACCCTGCCTTCAAATATACCTGCCTCAAGATGCAGTAGAACCTCCACCTGCAGGCCTGCATTATTCCTGAGCAACTGGCTTTGAACTGGATGGCGCTGACCATTTTATTAAGGTGAGAAGACAGTGACTCCATCTCCACACTGCGCAAAAAAAAAAAAAATGCAAAGTGGCATTTTGCCTAAAAGCAACAGCCCCACAATCATTCTGTAAGGGGGAGTCAGATATTCAGAAAGTGCATCCAAACAGCCTGCGTACCGCCCACCCCCACCCCCCAAAATAAAAGGGTAAGGCCACTCTGTGTTTTGTTCCGATGCTCATCAGGGAATCAATTACGTCTAATGAAACTGATAATTGCTTCACCCTTAATGTGAAAAATAAAACCTCGGACCATTTGCGGAAGGCGTCGCGCTGCATCTTTATCAGCAGAAGTGTTCCCTGCACTTATTTCAACAGAGAGAAACTTGCCTTTCCACCAGCTGGTATCTGAGAAGGACGCTGGCCGGAATGTGAGCCGCAGTCCCTGTGGGCCTCGGCGGTGAGCGGGTCCGCGTTCCGCCAGAGCGGGAACCACATTGGCCTTCAGATCCCGAGCTCAGGAAGACAGTCAAAGGAAGCTGGGCCGCCACGTGCCGCCACTGATCCCGCCCCGGTCTGGAAAGCAACGACAACACTGGAGCTAACAGTCAACTGCAGCAGTGGTGTGCCAGAGACCGCAGGCCTGCTCTGTCTCCATGGAGATGCAGCATGTCCTGCTGAGAGTCCGCATTTCTCTGATTGAATTTAAATAAGATTCCCCCCATATACACACACACCTCTCCTCGAATACCCCAGCATGCCAGGCTTGATTAAGCAAGGAAGCATTAATAGATCAGTTGTGCTGCTCACAATCAAGTTATACTAGGTTAATGGGTCATTAATTGGTCAAATGATACATGCTAGTCAGCCACAGTGTGTTGAATAACCTGATATGTCACTCATATAAAGATACAAATTTGTATATTTTTAATATCCTCCATCAGGGGATCAGGGGATTTTCGAGATCTGGTATAATCTATTGGATTTGGGTGGATTCAGACAAAGCTTGTGTTTTCCACTCATCTGTTGGGTCTTCTGATGGTTTTCCGGGCCTCTCGATTGTCAGTCACTTCCTGGAGGCAAACCAAATGTGGAGGTGTAAGGAAGCACACCGAACCCGTGCCGATTTAGGCATCACCAACTCTGTGTGCGTACAGAGCCGGCCAGTCCTGAAGCGCTTCTTTTTTCTTTCTTTATGGGCTGAGATGGTGCTTGAATGTGGTTGTTCATGAGAGACCACTGCTAATGGTCCAGTTTACAACCACAGGGACCTTCGAAATGGTGGTGGAACGAGGAGGCAGACGTGATTGCAGCCAGCGGCCAAACTCTCGTCCTGTTGTGCCGTTCCTGGACGGGGCTGACCCTTAAAGAATGCCTTCTGTGGATCATTATCCAATTACCTAAACATCTGTGCCCAACCAGATTCCCATTCAACTAAAGCGGGGCACAGTGTCTGAAATACCATGTGAGCTGGGCAATTAGGGGAAGTGCCCCATGGTGACACTGACATGCCCTGAACCGCCCTAACCCCTCCCCTTTTTCATCACATGATCAAACCAACTGATGCGAAAGCTCAAGAACAGTGCTTTGAAGTCCAGAAAAACGTAGATCCGGTCAAACAGATGCACTCTACTTCTCCTCTTCCACCATACAGGCTCACGCCTCCTGGGAGAGCCGGAAAAGCTTTTGGCCGCAGATGGTCTTACGGACTCATCGACGAGGGCTTTGGCCAGAGGGCTGGAATGTGGGGAAATGCTCATGTCGGGGATGGGAACGGCGAGTGATCTGGACAGGGATGAAGCAGACAAGATAGCAGGGCCTCGCTCCCTGCGAGAGCATGACCTAGGTGGTGCAGCTAATCCCATGACACGCTGGAAAATGTGCAGCTCGCTTCCCTCTCTCGGGGCTACGAAAGCCGGGTCTGTCTCGAATCAGCGGCGCGGCTCGAGTCAACAATACGGCTCTGAGGAGCATTAGGGCCTTAAATAAATAGGGCTGTATGCATTACTGCAAGGGGATACAGTTACAGGCACACTCTCTGAAACACGAACATGCTGCGAAGGGCTGTGGTACAAACAGGGCTCGTAAAATGCTGCGGCACAGACAGATTCTGTTAAAAAAAACACGCTATTTATGTCGGTAGGACAGTGAGGAGAACGACCGCATAATGACATCGGTATCGCACTTCACTAGGGTACAACAGCAAGATGCCGATTATTTAATAAATAAAAAAAAAAGACAGATTTGCAGGATTAAAGAAAAGGTTTTGAATTGAAGCAGGAGAGGAGAGCCGTTCCCTGAGCTCAACCCCCAACACAGAGTAACACCTGAGGGGGGGGGGGTGCCCTGCCATGCTCACCCAGAGATTACGGTGTAATCGGCGTCGCAACCAGCTGCTGTCTGTTGGCCTCTATGGGGGTTGGGGTTGGGGCGAAGAATGAGCTAAATGGGAAAGACACTGCGCCCACCAGACGTCAGGAGAAAAAACAAGAGAGATTGTCAACAAATGTCAAAGCAAGGAGTGGGCTGAGACACAACAAGCAGCAGCGATGAGGAGCCTTTAGGGGCTACACAAGCACGAGGTGGCATGTTCCTGGATGAAAAGCCCGTTATCGGTGTGTACTGAGGGGCCCAAGGATTATCATCTATTATCATATAAATCTCCAGTGTACCATGAGGCAATTTCTGCCACACGGATCGTTTAGTTTTTGTGCAGGTTGCCATTCTTCTCAGCTGGGTGTGGACACCCCCTTCCCATTAAAAGCAAGCGGTGTTCTCTCAGAGACATCGGCATTTCATATCATCCCTGGCCATTGTTTGCAAATGCAAACATGTGTTATTCTTGATGACAAGAGATGAATAAAACTGATCTGTCCTTCTATTAGCAGAAGATGACCTGGAAGGGGAAAAACTTGAGACAAACTTGAGCCCTACGCCTTAATCTGACATAAAAATGACCATGTGATTAGGGTTTTTACTAGTATACCAGAATTTTTACTTGGCTTTGCAGTTTCTCACATGGGTTAAAAATGGGATTAAAGCGGGAGGCACTGATCAATACAAATGTTAACATCTGCAGCCCAAAGACGACGATGAGTAGCAGGTGTGAGACCCCAGCCCTTCTGCAGCCTGGCACCGTTGTTCTTTGTGCAGCGTTTTTTGCAAATAGGCTCACTTGCAATGGGGGGCTTTCTCATGATCTCTTTGCTGGGCCAGCGGCTACAACCTCATCTCGCACCTGATCCAATGGGGCAGCGCTCACATGTCGCACCTGATCCTATGGGGCAGCGCTCATATGTCGCACCTGATCCAATGGGGCAGCGCTCACATGTTGCACCTGATCCAATGGGGCAGCGCTCACATGTCGCACCTGATCCAATCGGGCTGGCCAGAGTAGCCACAGGGCAGCCCGGAGCTACAGTGACCCTATGACCCTTAATAGGCTCAGGGGGCAAAAGTCCACTGTACCCTCATCTCCTCTCTTCATGGCCAAATTGGCACCCAAACAATCAAATGACCATTCAGCTCCCTCAGCCCAACTGTCTTTCAGTTTCTCCAGAAGACCGTCCACTTCACATTTATGCCTTAAAAGAGCAGAAAAAAAAACCTGCTCCAAACAAATAGAAAGCTTTCTCTCTAACTGAAAGGCTCAATCAAATCAGAGATAATTAACGGTCTCTTGTAAAGAATCTGATGGAACTTAAGCAGCAGAGGCGAAAATTACAGAGGACAACACTTGTGTTAGCCAGCAGCAAACCAAATGCCATGCTCTGGAGGTGATATAACACTTTTACACTATAAAAAAAAAGAGTAATCAATTTGAAGGGGGAATTCCCCTCATTACAGTTGATATGTTTTCTCTCACCTCTCAAAATGCTGGAAAACATTCCATCATCTCTCATATTTAATCAGCCTCCAATTGTCGCAGCGACTCACAGATAAGCCCTCATTTACTGAAGGCCTGCACGGCCTTCAAGCCCTTACGCGGAACAATCGATTGCGATTCGATACGTACATAGGATATTTCATTTCTGTCAGGGTCTGTGCCCATTTAGTCCTTCTTCCCCTGGTGGATATCAATGAAAAAATTGAAAATTTTCTTATTATTTCATATTACTTTGTACAAAGAAATGCATGCAGCTTTTGAAAGCTATATGGGCTTCACACAGGCAGAGCGGCTCAATCGAATGTGCCGTCTCTGTTCAAGTTATGTTCGTCTCCCTGACCACGCTTCCGCTCTCCGTATTAAAGGCATCGCTGGCGGAAGGAATGATCCGGAGCATTTTCGACTTAACGGTTTCATGGCCGCGAACAGAGTGGCCTTTCGATGCATATACCTAATATCCCCAGGGTGAACCAGCAGTACCGGAGAGAGTAACAGAAGCAAAGGCCCTATTCTCCATTAAGCAGTCAAGGAGAACCTGACTCTGAGTGTTAACGACAGTTTAAATGACTTACCCTCTGACCTCTCGGGAAATCGCAAATATCTCCCTGATCAATTTTATTGACCCCACCCACCTCATTCGCGCAAATTGCTTCGGTCGCACAGCCACAAGTACACTCAGTGAAACGCTGGTCATGCAAGTCGTGGTATGTCCATTTCAGAAGAAATTAGTAAAAACACAAAGCTAGTAAGTAGCTACGCTAATCCATAGCAATAAACGTGTTTTTTTTTCCCCCGATGCAAAACCTTGCCTAAATTTCTGTGCTGTCCTTTTATTAGCTAATTAATGAATGCTGTAGGAGATGAAGACTAAAGAACTTTAGAGAGACAGGATAATGCCCTGAGATTTAGTCATAAGGCAATATTTCAAGTTTATCTTTGTAATTTAATCCATATACCAACACTTGTTCATTGTCATAGCTGGGATTTGGCAATACGAATCAATTGGGACTTCTGTGGGACTCCCAAGAGGAGGCCCAGTAATTGAATTAGCTGTCCTCAAGCCCGTGCCTGGGCATGCTGCCGTGACAACGGCTCTGGCGATCCATCATGCTTTGCACTTGGACCATCAGAAGGAAGAGAGAAAAACCTGCCTTTTATAATCAATATCCATTTTCCGGCCCCATCAAGCAGTTCCTTGTCCCGCTCAAAAGCCACATATTAGCAAATGTGTCATCTAATACCAAATAAAAGGCAACCTAGCAGTGGAAATACCTCCATTTATCATCATTTACAATGATGTTGTGTTTTTTTTTTTGGAGATTTAGTGCAACATTGTTTTGACTAAATAAAACGTACCACAGCTACAGTACTTAAGATGTTTAGGAGTAGAGAAAAGCACCGTAACCTTGGCATGAAGAATATTCTGTCCTTTATTCTCTTCACATACTCCTATCCATAGAATTATCTAGAATAATAAAGAGCAGACGACGACAAACCAAGGAGATTGTAACAGAAAAACTGAACCATAATCATTCACATGGCTTCCAAAACATCCAAGTAATTAATATATAATAAGCAAATACGACATGCATTTCTATGACCTTATTCTTTCTGCCATTGGCATTTTATGACATCAGTATGTATGTCCAATTAAAGACGTTAAATATTCACGCATATATTCTGCATGAAGATGCTGCCAAATATGCCACAGTACACCCTGTGACATAAGATGGTACAAATCACCGCTGATTTTGGCAATTTTATTATTTGTTTTGTTTACCTGATGTCATTTGCAGCTAATGCACGTCTGTCTTAATGGGAATGTAAATTGCTGTAAATAAGAGCGTCTGCAAAAATTAATAAATGCAAATATAAATGTAAATATGCAGGATGAGGCGGCAAACAAACTCTTGGCTGGCTTTCTGGGCTTTAATGGGGATTTAATCAGATACACGTCCAGTGATACCATGCCGGGATCATACTCACATTACCAGTGGTTTCTGGAGCCAAGCTCTTATATAACAGCCTGCTTTGGCTTTAAAAACATCCACCCTCCTTTCGTGGAGAGAGTCCCCATTTTAATTCCGTGAAGGGACACACCCAGGGTGGCAAGCGACCCAGTCTCAGAGTGATACGAGCACCTTTGCACATTAGTGTTAAAGGGCTAACATTAATACACTGTAGCCA